CACTACGAAGACTGCAGCGCCGCGTGTACCACTCGCGGATCACCTGAATGGGGGGGAGCTCCTGGGTAGGAGGGGAAGTACCGGGACGAGCTCCAGAAGCACCTCTCCGGAGGCGGCAGTACTCGAGGTACCTCTCCTGCAGCTGCTGGGAGGAGAGGGCTCCTCCAGGTGGAGTACCCCCAGACTCAGCACCCCCAGACTCAGCACCCCCAGACTCAGCACCCCCAGACTCAGCACGTCCAGACTCAGCACCCCCAGGCTCAGCACCCCCAGGCTCAGCACCCCCAGGCTCCGCACCCCAAGGCTCAGCACCCCCAGGCTCCGCACCTCCAGGCTCAGCACCCCCAGACGCAGGACGCGAGTCAACAGCTACCTCGACAGGCTCACTCGGGTCTACCTGGGACACACCTGAGGGAGCGGCACCCTGAGGGGGGAGGGGGTCTGGTACCTCAGCACCTGGAGCGAGGAAGAGAGGCGGGGGGGGGAGCGGGGCAGTGCGGTAGGGGAAGAGGCGGTAGAAGGGGACGGACTCGTCAAAAGTGACGTCCTGAGAGGCCAGAACCCGGCGCGAGGTGACGTGGTAAAACTGCCATCCAGGCGCGTCGGGAACAAAGCCAAGAAAGACACAGGGAACAGTGCGACGTGAGAGCTTGTCCGCAGACGTGTCGCGGACAAAGGCTCGAGATCCCCAGACCCGGAAACGCGACGCATCGCCAACCTCTCCCGTCCACCGTAGAGTCGGGGAAGTCTCCGGCAAGGAGACACGGGGCCAGAGGTTGAGCTGATGTGCTGCGTACCGGACCGCAAACGGCCACAGAAAGTGGGGAGCAGCCGCATGGGTCAGGGAGGTACGAGCGACCTCCATGACTAAGCCAATGCGGCGCTCAGCAACCCCATTCTGCTGTGGAGAGGCCGGAAGCGTGTACGACTGCTCAATGCCGTGCTCAGCACAGTAGGCTGCCAAGAGGTCGGAGGCGAACTCACCACCCCTGTCAGAGTGCAAGCGCAGGACAGGAAAGTCCGAGTGAAAGCGCTCGCCTAGCTGGAGACGGGCTCGGCGGATCCAGGGGATCAAAACACCAGGGACGTCACCCTTGGTGCGCAAGGGGAAGACCGTGGTGTAGCGCGAGTAGTCGTCAACAACTATCAGGAAGTACCTCTCCTGACCCTGACCACGGACGCGGGCTGGGCCCCACACGTCCATGTGGAGCGTCTGCAGGGGAGCGGTCGTCGGGGGAAAGGAGGAGGAGTGAGGAGCGGCGCGCTGCCGCCCCTCGACACAGGGAATGCAGTCAGGAGCAGGGGAGTCAGGAAGGGGAGGGAGCACCCTGGGAAGACCAGCAACAAGGTCCCGTTTGTGCATGGCCCGCAGGCGCTGCACAGACGGGTGACCAAGGCGGTGGTGCCAGAGGACGGTGTCGTTCGCCAGAGAGCGACACGAGCAGGGGGCGGACAGCTGACCTGACGCTGACGCAGACGCAGCTACCTGAGGGGACTCAGTGGTCAGTGTGTACAGGTCAGACCCCGGCTCTCGAGTGAAAGTAGCCAGGTGGCGGCCCGTCCGAGCACACGTGCAGTGAGTCACACGCTCGTAGGCAGGGGTGAACTGGTGAACACCCGAGTCCTGGAGCGCACTACCTGCCACCAAGTTCGTGGAGAACGAGGGGAGGTAGAGACCTGAGAGTGTGCCGGACGGAACCGCTGGACACGGAAGGGTGGTGGAGGAGGTCGCAAGGACCGGACCCCCAGAGGGGTCAGCAAGAGAGACAGCAACCGGCCGAGCTAGAGGCTCAAGGACAGTGCGGTCACGAAAGAAAGAGCGAGAAGCACCTGAGTCCAGTGTGAAGGTGTGCAGTGCTGCAGTCGACTCAGTACCAGGGGGCACAGACGCACAAGCACCTAGAGCAGCAGCTGCAGTAGTACCTGTGGAAGCAGACACACTAGTACCTAGAGCAGCAGCGGGGCTGGCCTGAATGCCCGGGTCGGGCGGAACACGCAAGTACTGAGCACCCTCTCCACTAATAGACATCGCATACATGGCAGTGAGAATAGCATCAAAGTCAAGTGCCCAAATATCAACACCCTTCCTGAGCAGATCAGCCCAGCGCGGCAGCTCACCCCCACCAGGAAACTGGGTGCGCCACGCATCGTTGAGGCGGGCGAAGCAGCGCTCCGTCTGGTGCGGCCCCCCACACGTCTGGCCAGTGCGGTCACCTGTACGAATAACGTACTGGCAGGTGACGCTGCGCCGCGCATACCACTCACGGGCGGCCTGAAGGGTCGGGGAAGGCTGCTGACTCTGACCGCCCCCCGGGCCTCCACGACCACCACCCCCTCCGCCTCCGCCGCGGCCACCTCCACCCCTGCCGCTGCCACGACCACCTCCGCCTCCGCTGCCACCTCCGCCCCTGTCACCACTCCCAACACCGCTGTCACCTCCACCACCGCCGCCACTAGCCTCTCCAGTCGCACCTCCACCGCCACCACCTCCACCCCCGCCTCCTCCGCCACCACCCCCACTCCTGCCACTCCTGCCCCTGCGTCGTCCGCCTGAAGCAGACGCAGCCCCGACCTTCTCAGCACCAAGGAGGTCGACAGCAGCAGCAGAGGCGACAGAGGGGAGGAGGGGGGAAGGGGAGCACCCCTCGAAGAAGGGGCCGCGGGGGTCGCCACGAGAGGTGCCTACAGCGACGATACTAGCCTCGGCTGCAAGCAGTTCCTTCTCGAGGAGGGCTATGGTGAGCTCAGTGGGGGAGCGAGAGAGGAACTGGTCCCTGACAGGGCGCAGAGAGTCAGGGAGGCGGGTGACAACGTGGTAGAGAGTGATCCAGAGCGGGGGGGGGTTGCTAGCGAGGAACTCATCAGGCATGGCAGCGCGAAAGCGAGCCTCACTAGTCTTAAGGTGGGTGATGAGGTCTGCGACTGTGTGAAAGGAGGCTAGGTCGGGGAACAGGTAGGGGAGAGTGAGGCGGCCTAGTGTGGCAGAAGCGGGTGAGGAGTAGCGGGCCACTACAGCTGTGTAGAGGTCCTTAGCAGTCTTGCACTGGCCGAAGTGCTCGCGCTCATCTAGCGGCAGGGAGTTGCGAATAGCAAAGCGAGCGTGCGCGTCACGGGTCTGCCACTGTGAGCGCTCAGCTGGGGGGGCAGTAGCGAGTGGGGCGGTCGCATGGCCGAGAGCGTGGTCGTACAGTGTAATATCTTCCTTGGCAGTGAGCTGTAGGAAAAGGTGCAGGTCATCTAGCCAGGTTTCGAATTTGACCGGACGGCCCTCGGCGTCGAAAGCTAGAACAGGAGGACTAGCCATAGCGACAGCGGCAGTAGTAGAAGCAGTAAAGTCACTGAAAAGGCGTGCGCAGGGTCAGCGGGGCCGGTGGGGCCTACGGACTGTAGTGGCGCACAAGCAGTAGTAGCAGAAAGTGTAGTAGTAGGGGCGGGCTCAGCAGCGGTGATTCGCGGGCGACGGCGGGCGCAGCAGCGGCGGTGCGCGGGCGGCGGCGGGCTCAGCAGCGGTGGTGCGCGGGCGGCAGCGGGCGCAGCAGCGGCGGTGCGCGGGCGGCGGCGGGCTCAGCAGAAGCGGTGCGCGGGCGGCTGCGGACTCAACAGCGGTGGTGCGCGGGCGGCAGCGGGCGCAGCAGCGGCGGTGCGCGGGCGGCTGCGGGCTCAGCAGAGGCGGTGCGCGGGCGGCTGCGGGCTCGGCAGCGGCGGGCCGGGAGCAGTGCGGGCAGCGTGCGGGCCGGCGGCGGTCAGCGCACGAGCCGCGCAGGCTCAGCGCGGGCTGCGCGGGCTGCTCGCGGGCTGCGTAAGCGGGTCGCGGGCGGCTCGCGGGGGTTCGCGGGCAGGTCGCGGGCTGCTCGCGGGCAGTTCGCGGGCTGTGCGCGGGCTGCGCGGGCTGGTCGCGGGATGCGTGGGCGGTTCGCGGGCTGTGAGCGCGGCGCGCTGTGCGGTTCGCGGGCGGCGTGACGGGGCCGATCGGGGCGCTAAGGGGCGACGCGACGGGGGCCGTGAGAGGCCGCTAAAAAAAAAATTCGAAGGGGCCGCAGGGCCGCTAGATCGTGCTAGATCGACGGGGCCATCGGGGCCGAAAAGAAGCGAAGGTAAGCAGGTAGGTAAGTCGGTGGGCCCTAAGAACAGTCCTAGCGAAGGACCTGCTCTGAAACCATGTCAGAAATAACTGAGCAGGAATGAATGAACTAGAACAGAGTTTGGTACAAGTAGGAAACCCTAACTTTGTGTACCCCCTAAGGTGTAACCCACTACAGCCTAGACAATATAAACATGCAATGTTTGACAGTTGTCCAATACTTCAATTGTATTGCTCTTCACGTTCCAACCAAGGCGTCGTGTTTTTGTATTCGATGTGTACGTCCCTCTGTTCCATATGTGCTCTAATCGTCTATAGTCACGTTGTCTTGTTACAGCGCGCGAGTGCTCGACTGTAAACGCACTATTTACCCGAGGTTCTTTCATTGTGCGTGAACTCCTCATACGAGAGCACCGTACGCGTTACCGAGTAAACGCCGCAAACATTGCACCTTCTTGTTTGTCTTGCGATACACGATGATTACTCATACCGCAAACAATTCGGATAGTGTACTGTAGATCTCTACATGGCGGGTTGGCGCGCTCTACAGACCCGCGTTCTCGAGATTGACGAACGCGCTGATTCGTCATCGATACAATGCATGCATGCATCATGGTAGATAGTCGCTGGAGTGGGCCTACTGCGCACATAGGCTGCTGCTAGGTAGGGTTTGAAGCACTGACACACATTCGCCAGCACACAGATTCGTAGATCTCATTTCAGCTAGAATGCCTAGCAATCCTACCGTAGCACATAGATTCGTAGACAATTACCGGCTAGAATACCTAACAAGCGTACCATTCTTGCTGATCGAGTCGCGCGTTCGAAACCGCTGATGCCACGCACACGAGGCGACGCCGCTCGCCTAGGAAGGTCGGAGGAGACTTCTACGCCTGTTGCGCGGATCGAGCCTAAGTCGATGGTCGTCTCACAGCGTCCTGACGGAGTCGAGCTGCCGCACGCAGATGAGATTCGTGCGGCACAAGGGCGCAAGGCATGGCGGAGCAAGGGCAAAAAAAAAACAGGACGCGGCGTGGGGGTCTACGGTGGTCATGCTCGACTGTGAACCCCCGCCAGACGACGCCATTTAGTCGATGATGCAGAAGGGGAATACCGAGGAGTGGGAATCCGTGACGTTGTACGGCCTAAACGGCTCGGAATGTCAAGTCAAGGGCGATGACGCGATTAGCATCGCCGACGGAAATTGCTTGCACGACAAAGTGCTCGATTTTCACAACCTGTGAGTAATCCATCCCGATGTTGCCGTAAGACCTTGTGTGTAGGCGTTTTTCGTCGACATTATCTCATGGGCTATGCTCATATCGTATTGCTGCAGGTTGCTGAAGATCCGCAATCCCACCTTGCCCAACGGAGGGACATGGGCCGTGCTAGACAGCAAGAGCTTCGCGTATTTCAAGCAGTTCCGTGCCACCATAACGCATGGTCGACCTGGGAGCGTCTTCGCGGTGGACTACATGGCAATTCCGATTTGCCATAGGTGCGCTATAAACAGGGGCTGGCATGTTGTCCGATATCGGCGCTTGTGCAATGTGACAGGACTCAAATTACGCTCCCGTGTGTCGTGTGTTTGCAGGGACCATTATTCTCTGATGGTTGTGCCGTCGCCATCTCGGATAGTGGCACCGAGCAAGGGAGGGCAGGCGGATGCTGTCGAGCTTATCCTATACGACAGCGCTGGTGTCCACAGCATGGATGCAGGAATTTTTAACGGCGTCAAAAGGTGTAGTAATAAATCCCATAATTTGATGCCTGCAGATGCGATACTAAACAAGTGTGTGCATCTGGGTAAAGCGTGGTCTTTTGAGTGGTCCTGTGTTGCAGCCTATTACACGCAATGGTCATGGTGGAGCTACCGCATATCGATGAGGAGACGGTCAAGGGAGCGCTCATGGTGGCAAAATGCGTCACGCTTGGGGTAAGTGACATTCACTAGTCTGCCTCCCGTATCCTATGAGGAAGAGTTTCCGTCGCTTCTCTATTAGCTGACTCGCCGCGTGTCCGTGATCCCCCCCCCCCCCCCCCCCCCCCTCCCCCCCCAACTCACCCCCGCCAACAGGGAAGCCGCATTCCAATGCAAACGAATGGAGTCGATTGCGGTGTGTTCGTTTGCCAGAACCTGGCCGAGCTGGTGGCGACCAGCTTTCAGACTGTCCGCGACGGGCTCAGCTTCGACCGGCCCACCCCACATGTGTACCGGCGGGGCATGAGGGCGGAGCTGTGCGATCATCGGGCTGGCACTCTCGCCACGAAGCTGCAAGCCAAGGGGATAGTTATGCCCACGCAGCCCCCGCCCGCGAAGGCTCTGGACCCAGCAATCGTTGTGCAGGACGATGATGACATCGTCGAACTGAAGTCAGAGGGGGGGATGCAATCAACCGACATGCAGCTCGTCGTGCTTGCTGCGAAACTCGGCGCAATCTCTCTGGCACTTGGGTATGACGAGGATCAGCTCCTAGCTGGTGCTGCGCACTTTTTGACAACTCACGCGCGTGTCGTGGCTCCAATCGTCAAGGGGATGGGGTCCGGCAAGGATCCTGAGACTGTCGCGAGGAGCATTGCGGGTGCGCTGCACACGACACCTTTACCTCTCCCACGCCATCCCGCGGGCCAAGCGGGCGTTCGATTAAGCAAGCTGACGACCAAGGCCACCTCACCAAGACCCGGCAGCAAGCCTCCGAGTCCACACACGCCGCATCTTGTCATGGCAATCCCAGCATCGGAGGCAGGAATTTCTGGCTGCCGCAAGAGAGCATCTGGCGCCAATGTTGGGAAACCTCCACGAGCTCGAGAAGGGACACGCGAGGGACGGACGGTGCACACGGGTGTGCGGTATGATCCGGAGACCGGCAAGTACTATGCGAAACTGGTGTGGGGACGTGGGTCCAGGCAGCAGATTCGGCTTGGGTCATACACCGAGGAGCTCGATGCAGCGTACGCCTACGCTGCCGCGGCACATGTGCTGCGACCAAAGGTTATCAGCAAGGGCGCGGTTAGGTTGTCCGACTCGGACATCGCGGCGCTATCGGGTTGCACGGGTGAGCATATTCGCGCGCTGGTCCGTAAGCGGAAGTGGTGGAGGTGGCGTGAGTGGACAGTGGCTCTGCGCGAGAGGGGACAGGTGTTTCAAGGACAGGGGGAGGGTCATGATGCGGCAGTTCATGCGGCATCCATCAGTGCGTCCGAAGATAGTGATGCACATGATGATGATGTATACCCTTTGACGCAGGAGTGCGAGGGGGATGTACACATGGCAGCAGAAGGAGAGGCAGACGGCGGTTGTGATGGCGGCTCTGACACCAACACTGAGCTAGTGGGGAAGTAAACCATGGGGCTGGGTGTGCTTGTGCAGGGCCGTAGGATGGTGGACTGTTTAAAACCCAGGGTCCACAGGTTTCATAAGTAGGAAGGTTGGTTGGAGTTAGTGTCAAAACCAAAGGTAGGAAGCTTGGTTGGACTTTGTAACCCTACCAACGGTAGGAAGGATGAGGCAACTTTGGGATACTTGAGACTCCGGTTTTAAAATTTCTGTTGACATGACATGGGAGGCGCAAGAGACACAGGAACTCGCATGCATTGCGCATGACGCAATATGGTAGTGCTCGCTCAAGAAGCGTTTATGTCACTCCGAGCTGGTGTGTTAAATTTCTCAAATAATATATCGTATTAACAAGATCGTACACATTGTCACACACTGGCGCTATCATTGTTGCGCAAAGAGTATCGTCTTACCGCATACATGTTACGAAACCCGCGCATCAGATTGTCACACGTAGACGATAAGGAGCACACGTGGGCTCTAAGCTGTCATGATATTATAGGCTGTTGACATCGCATACGCATTTCGACCACACATGGGTCCGTGTGTTGTATGGGGCAGATATTCGTATCACGTGTTGCGTGAGCTAAACAGGCGCAAACTTCGCCATTGTGACTTAACAAGACAGCATTCTCTATTGACAACGGACACTCTGAGATGGCGAGTGCCATAGCCATGTCGCAGAGAGACGGGCGAGGACACCGGGTATCCAAGCCGCCTGCATACCTGCGGCAGGCTTACCACCTCACAATGTCTACTCGACGTGGGCCTAATAAGAGCTCTAAGACGGCGCCAACCGTTGTCCGCGCTGGAAAAGGCGGTGCATCAACGCACTCTACGCGGGGTATGGTTAAGAGTCAGATGGGCGGTGGTATGCTTTAATGTGAACGTTAACTCACCGCAGTTGTTTCGAGTTTGGTATGATGCCCCTAAGTTCGTCGTTGCGTTTTGTCACTTGCCCATGTGTGTGCACGTACAGCATCTTCTGGGCGGCTCGTGGCGGGTGAGACGGCGCCATCTGCTAGCGGGAGTGGGGATGCAGCCGCAGAGTCGCAGTCTTCCCAGCAGCCATCGCAACCCGCTGAGGCGCCGAGGTCGAGGCGCGTCGAGGATGTTGCGAACGATACGCAAGCTACCACTGGTGGAGCGAATGCGGGCAGTTCGCGCTCGGTGGTGTCGAACGACGATCCCTCGAAAATGCTTCCGGAGATGCCGCGTAACTACAATGCTGATGTGGGAACGCGCCTTTACCGTGACGACGACAACACACCCGTATCCCGCGAGGAGTTCAATCGCATTGTTCGTGCGCACGAGGAAACCCTTGCAACGTTGGCTCAACTGGAGACCGTCCTGCTTGCAAAGATTGAGCACGAGAAATCCCAGGAGAAGGCTCGTAAGCGGAAGCGGGGACGAGTCAAAGAGACGCGCGACGCAGGCGAGTCAGAACCGAGTGACCTCGCGCTATCCGACGACGATGACTACGACCGGGCACCTTAGACGCGACACAAGAAGACTGCCAAATCGGCGATTCTGCAGAGGGCGCTTGAAGTGCTCCCGGCCGACAAACCCTGGAAGGTCTGGTGACGATTCTCTGCTGATGTGTATGCACAACTAGGTACATTGTGCGTCGACCAACCATGCTCTGGGTGTGCGAAATCGTGACGATGCCATGTACAGTCTTTTGTGTCCGGCCGAGGATGTCCAATGCACTCTTGTTTCCACTCCATCTTGCGCATTCATGGCCCATGACGTTACAGAACATATGCGAGCAGGTGCGCGTTCACATGTTCTTCGGGCGGAGGAACGAGAAGATGACGTTCTACCCCAGCAGTGAGGAGAAGACAGCGGGGGTGTGTGCCGTGGTAGACAATCTGCCGCAATCGTACGCCGCACTGGCTCTTGCAGCATGCAAAGCCCGTCGGGCCGATCTTAATCGGTCCCTGAGCGATTGGAAGACGGCGGCCGCTGGCCGGGTGCGTGACATCGCGCTGCCGCGAATCGGGCTTTTTCGAGATGAACGGGACGCGCAAAGCCCGTGGGCAACTGCAAAGGCTCGGCCCCTTGCGAAGGTTCGAACTCGCACTGGGCTTGACGCCATTGTCGGCGGTAAGGCGTTGTCTATGACCCATTTAATATACCGCATCGCTGTACACTCTCTGCGTTGGATCTCTAACACCGGGGCGCTTATCTTTGCCTACAGATAAGGTCGTGCTGTCAAGGTGGTCGCACGACCGTCGGGGCATGCCGTTTGCCTAAGGAGCATTCACGGCGTGTGCACTCACGGTTTTCAAGCCCAAGATGTTGAACGGCACCATCACCCTGAAGCTCTACCATCTCGCGTGGATCGAGCATCTTGTGCGAAATGGCCTCGGGGATAGGTGGTTCCACGTGTTGCAGCGCTTGCACCGGCCGTGTTGCCACGTGGCATGTAACTTTAATTGTGTTCATTCTCGAGCCTGTGCTGTTTTATGTGCACATGTGACTGACGCGATTCTCAACTGGGAGCAGCGCAGGGGCTGCCTGTCCAATTCGGCCTCGCGCAACGCCCACATGGTGAAAGGGCTGCAGGCCTTGGTGTTTGAAGCTATCGTGGCCGCCATTGACAAGTACAACCCGCCATACGACCCGGATACTAAGACGTTCGAATGGGGGCGGCATGGGCTCCGCCTGTCAACGTGCGGGCTGGAAGAGACACTTCCAGAGGCGTCTGGCGACGAGGAAAGCGAGAGATCCGTCGACGAAGTCTCAGTGTCGCACGGGAACTCAAGGATGGACGAGTAATAGGCAGAGTAGTTTGCAGCATGATGTGAAGTGTGACAGTATAACCTTGTTGTGGCGGGGCTGGCTATGAGATAAATTAAACAATGTATTGCTAAACTCAACGATGACAATCGCGCGTCATATACTATCGGCATAGGAAAAACGGTTACAATATTTACAAAATTAACGGTGCGCGCCTTTTTAGACTAATTGCGCATGTTGCGGCGGCAAACACGGACGCCCTATCAAGCCCGAGTCGCGGACTTAGTAGGGTGATAGAACAACCGTAGATGGTTGGGGTCAGCACCATAGGAAGGAAAGCGATACAAACCCCGCTTGGCGCTGAACCGTTTGATCCGGAAGATCGTATGGAGCACAGTGGTAGTGGTTGCGCCCGCGTGTCCGTGTGTGCAGACGCCACGTGACACGACGACAGCCGCTTGATCGTTTGTGCGGAACGGGCTTATGGCCTTCATCGGACGGTCTGTGCGTGGCGATCTGCAGGCCGGAGTCTCCTGTCGTGCAGCACATGTCTTTCTGTGATTGGATGCTCAGCTAGCCGCCAACTGTCGTACGACATAAGTTGTACGTTCTCGTTCGTGTCGTCTAACGAGTGTCCCGCCACGTGGCGGGCAGTACTAATGGTATGCGTTTAGGCGACAGCATGCTGAAGCTTAAACGTAGCTCGTGTCCAGAACTTTTTTGTCGCTAGCACGAGGGACGTAATTGGCACATGCAAGTAACGTAGAATGTGACGTCTTATGTGACACAAATGTTACTACGTTTTTCCGATACTTTCCTGTGACTTTTTTGTTACATCGGCAGTCACATCGGCGCTGGTACTTTCAACCATGACTATAAAACGCCGGACTTGCAGTCACGCAAAAGTCACATTTGGATCACATTTTTGTGGCTTTCAGCACTTGCCATTTGCGCGATGGCGCTTTGTGAGCATGCGCGGCAGACGGCATGGGCGTGGTGCCCTTGGCATGTGATACAACTGGTGTGAGTTTGGGGTGCTCAAAGCTTGTACCACATCTGCTGCCCTCGGCTGCCCACTGCCCCTGAGTTCGATGTCGCGTGCACGTGCGCATTGGAGCATCACACCACAAATCATGACGTCAGCATGCCATCATGGCAGCATAGGATAAGCATGGCAGCATGTGATGAGCATGCGATGAGCATGACAACATGACATCATGGCTGGGAAGTGGAGAAACATAGAGGGGGTTTGGGAAGTGGGTGTTGTGTGCATGGTGGTGGGAAGTGGGGGAGTTGAGACTACAGCACCAGAGTGACTGGCAGAGAGGTCACCAGAGAATTGGGTGGCCAATGGGACTGCCTGCGGGGCCAGCTCCCGCCTTCCAGCACCACGCTCGCACATGGAGGTGACGTCATGAATGAACACACCTCGCACACTCACCTCTCCATGCGCGATCGCATATCCAGCACCAACTGTTACAACCGCTATCCAGCGCAACGCCCTGAGCCGATCACAGCTGGCGCACTCAACGCGTCACTCACGACTCACTCGCGTCGTGCAGCGCCGTGTTGATCACCACGCGGACGCCCCTCCGCGCCATGGAGCCCGCCACATCGCGGAAAAGGTTTTCACCCTAAATTGCGAAAAATGGGGTAAACTGCTGAAAAGCTTCCGAAATGCATACAGATGTATACAGAAAGTTGCGATTGCGAAATCGCAACCTACCCCACTTTGCACACTTTGGTATTCGCGCCAAGGACAACGGAGCGCGAATGTACACTCTGTGTTGAGTTGGCGAGAACTCCGCGGCTCGACAAACCCCATAAACATTTCATCGACATTGCGTGTTTTGGCAAAATACAGCAGCGTATACAGTTTCGTGAACAGGCACAACGGATTGGCACACCACTATAAACTTACACTTGTAGGGAATTGAACTCGGTTTCAAGACCGTAACGATGTGCGAAAACAGGATACAGATCGTAAAATGTTCGCAACTGAGATACTGAACACAGATGAATCTTCAGCCTGACAAGTCACTACCACACGTCCCCTCCTGGCCTCCCACCTCACCAAAACTCCACCTAGCGAATCTTTACAGCCAATCGCTGCTGAGTGCATGAATCAAAATCGGCACTCAGCAAGTCCCTCGTCCACACAGTTCCAAACCTAAATTCTAACCATTGGAAGTTGAAACCACACACTTCGTTGCTTTAGTCTTCGAATCATATACACACTCTCCGCAGGCTAGGTTTCTAGTTAGCTCGAAGTGTGTCTGGATCTATCGCCTTACCTTGACACTATCCCTTTGTTGTTCTTTTCCGCCCCTGCAAACCTCCCATTTCATTTCCCATATTAGCCAGGTGCATTTACTTCACGTGGAGAACATTCTGCGTGTCAATCTTAGCGGAATCGCCGGCTTCAGCGCCAAAAGAGCTGGCTGCAGCGAAAGCGGTGCGGGACGAACCGCCAGCGATGACAATATCGCATCCGAATTTTCGCGCATGTAGGCAATCAGCCGCCTGCCGCGTATGCGCCGTGATAAATGGGAATACGAGAAATAGGTGCATCGTGTAAGGTAAGTATCGCGTGCCAATGTTAATTGCCGCTGTGAATTGCGATTTTGTAGATGTTTAATGTATTCCATGCCTCTCCATTTTTCCGCGTTCGTTTAGTCTCCTAGTCGAGTGGTCATTTGCCTATCTCTCCTGCAGTTTTCCGCACTCGCTCAGAGGCATGTCTTTCCTCGGCATGTATTTTTCCTCCCCAATCTCCCTGTTTCTAGCCACGCAACCTCGACAAATCGGCGGACGTTTTGATACGAGTCGCAATGGAATGTGTGTGGAGGCAACACCAACACGCCGGGCTCTTGCGGGGAAGCCGCTCATGGGAAGTCGCTCTGATATAAGAAGCAAAGAGTAAGGAACTCGGCGATCAGAGTAAGATGTACGAAATTTGCTCATCTCCTGTGTCCAATTCGCTCACCTATTGTATCCATTTTGCGCGGTTTGTGAGTACGTCTAACTGCAAACGATAACTTTCACCTGCTATTTGTTTTGTATCTGATGAATAGCGCCGCAACTATCTACGCAACAGTCTTAAGGGTGAAGCTGTCGACCGCAATGAATGTTATCTCCAAACATTCTTGTCAAGGGAGATTGGTGAGTGGTGGTGTATCGCATACATGAATGCCATGATTCAATGAGACTCAATATCGGTGTTTTTTTTGCAGGCTCTGTGCGGACTCGTCCCCAAGTCGATATTATAGTCGATAACTAGAGTAATGTGTTGACTACAATAATTTGCTCCTTACGTTGTTCGTTGTAGGGCCACATAATTGTATACCATCTCAGTGAACACAATATTTGTAGCCATGCCTGTAAGCAATCTTGCACCTGCACCAGATTTGGAGATATTGCCCCATGAACCGATTTCATCGCAAGGGGTCGCGCGCAAAATTGTAATCCAATAATATGCGGTTTTTACACCTAAAAGTCAACTTTGATTGGACCACGTGGCTAGCTAACGTTCACAGAGCTATAGTGACACGTGGCAAAATATCTATGCTGATGTGGCAAAATATCTGTACGAACGTAACGTCGTACGTACGCACTGAATATGAAACTGTACTTGTGCCACGTGGCATGCCTTAACAGTTACATTGAAGTGACAACCAAGTATACATTATGTTGCGCTTAGGTGTACGCTTTGTGTCGGAAATGTGGCTGAAATGTCTCGGAAAAGTTGCCGAAACTGAACCCCAACTTTCCGATGCTTTTGACCTTGACTGGAAAATTGTGGGAGCAGGTATCTTAAAAGTTATTTTTTTCGCAAGTTTTTGGAAGCCTTTCCGCAATCCCTTTTCCGCGTGGCAGCTGCACATTGGCCGTCAGCATCAATGACCATCATCTCTCCCGTCTTGATACATGATCCACGTCACCCACCCCTTGCACCGGTTCGTCAGCTCCGCCGCGTGCGCGCCGCTCGCAACACACAGAGTGCACAAATTGGAGCGGGTGATTCCTTGACACGCACCTTCCCCGCCACCCCGCGCACTGAGCGATCGGTTGCGCCACGCGCCGCAACACAGCGAGTGACGCAACGCGTGCGGATCATCCCTTCATGTCGCCAATATCCGAGACCAATGCACGTGCCAATCAACTCTGCAACGTGGAAAGAAGTCGTGCTGAAAAAGACGACTTGGATGAACGAATGAGCGGAAGGAAGCGACGAAATTACTAATCGAGCGAGAACGAACAAAACCGGACTACAAATTTGCGCAAAATACACGCGGAAATATTATTCGAGCTTGCATGGCTGGTCGATTCCGTTGCAAGTGACAAACTTTCGTGCACGAGATGGCTCGGATCGTGCGACATTCTGGCGATGCAATTACAGCAGCAGCAATGAAACAGCACTGCGGAGCACAAGGCATAAGAAAGGAAAAAATAATGCCTGCGCTGTTCGAGGCACTACGGCGCAAACTGCGCCGTCGATCGCGACATGCTAAGCAGCACGAAACTACAGCTGTACCAGTGAACCAATGAAGGGTGCAGCGCGACGAGAAGAGAGTTTTGAGTCCACACCACAAGCAATGAGGGGTGCGAGTCATTGGAGCTAGTCCCGAGAAAAAGAGAGTTAGATGGCGTTCACAGCAAGTTCCCCCAAAGCGAACCGCGCTCAACAACAGTGCACAGATATTTGTGAAGCACGTGTTTTGGGGTTGCTTCACGAAAGCTTGTCGTGAACGATCTTGAAGAAGACGGGGTTACATGCACCTGATTGGGTTTGAAAATTCGCTCAAACTCGTTTAGGTGTGTATCCACATTCGCATGGCACATGGAGTGGGTGTGCGAGGTTGCAAAACTGCCACGCTGGACCCAAATATCTGCACTTTTGGGCCTCTTCGCTTGGGGGAACTTGCTGTGAACGCCATCTTTGTCATTTGACGCTCAAAAGTATGATTTCATTGAAATTCTGAGTGATATTTACGGCGCAATTTGCTACTGAACAAGACTCTACATTAACGTCGGTAGGGTTGCGTAAATGTTAAATTCTTAATAAAAAAGAAACGAGGAAACATAATTTTTTTTTTGTATGTCATACTGAGATTTCCCTTATTAATGAAAATGACGAGCTTGTTAGTTCGTGATGATGCAATATATTAAATTTTGGGTGGGTTTTTACGATTAATCGGTACTAATAGACGAGTATCTATACACATTAATTATGTGTGTGTGTGTGTATGTGTGTGTGTATGTGTGTGTGTGTGTGTGTGTGTGTGTGTGTATGTGTGTGTGTGTGTGTGTGTGTGTGTGTGTGTGTGTGTGTGCGTGCGTGCGTGCGTGCGTGCGTGCGTGCGTGCGTGCGTGCGTGTGTGTGTGCGCGCGCGCGCGTGTGTGTGTGTGTGTGCGTGTGTGCGTGTGTGTGTGTGTGTATGTGTGTGTGTGTGTGTGCGTGCGTGCGTGCGTGCGTGCGTGTGTGTGTGCGCGCGCGCGCGTGTATATGTGTGTGCGTGTGTGTGTGTGTGTGTGTGCGTGTGTGCGTGTGTGCGTGTGTGCGTGTGTGTGTGTGTGTGTGCGTGCGTGCGTGCGTGCGTGCGTGCGTGCGTGCGTGCGTGCGCGTGTGTGTGTGTGTGTGTGTGTGTATGTGTGTGTGTGTGTGTATGTGTGTGTGTGTGTATGTGTGTGTTGTTAAACTGTATTATGCTTGTAGGCTGTAGTGGGGTAGCCAATATGGGGTACAACCCCAACTAGGGTTTCATATTTGTACCCAAACTTCTGTTAGTTCACTCATTCTTGCCTAGTGATTCTGATATGGTATTCAGAGCAGGAGGTCCCTAGGACCTACCGACCGTTTTTTTTTAAGGGCCCACCACCGCTCGCATGCGGTTACCACGCTACCCCGTGCCCTAGCCTCGTAGCGCCCTCGTGCGCCCTCGTGCGCCCTCGTTAGCGCCCTCGCGCGCCCCTCGTTAGCGCCCTCGCGCGCACCCTCGTTAGCGCCCTCGCGCGCCCCTTCGTTAGCGCCCTCGCGCGCCCCTTGCTAGCGCCCTCGCGCGCCCCTCACTAGCGCCCTCGCGCGCCCCTCGCCGAGCCGCCCGCTCGCAGCCCGCCCGCCCGCTCGCTGCCCCACTTCGCGGCCCGCCCGCTACGCAGCCCGCCCGCCCGCTCGCTGCCCGCTTCGCGGCCCGCCCGCTTCGCAGCCCGCTCGCTCGCTGCCCGCTTCGCGGCCCGCCCGCCCGCTCGCTGCCCGCTTCACGGCCCCGCCCGCTTCGCAGCCCGCCCGCCCGCTCGCTGCCCGCTTCGTGGCCGCCCGCCTCGCAGCCCGCTCGCCCCGCTGCCCGCTTCGCGGCCCGCCCACTTCGCAGCCCGCCCGCCCGCTAGCTGCCCGCTTCGCGGCCCGCCCGCTTCGCAGCCCGCTCGCCCCGCTGCCCGCTTCGCAGCCCGCCCGCCCGCCCGCTGCCCGCTTCGCGGCCCGCCCGCCTCGCAGCCCGCTCGCCCCGCTGCCCGCTTCGCGGCCCGCCCGCCTCGCTGCCGCTCGCAGCGCCGCCCCCCCCGCCCGCTATCGCTTCGCAGCGTCGCCCGCTCGCTACTGCTCCCTGCCTGTGCACCGCCGCTTGCTCCTGCTGTGGCTGCTAGCTTCGCTCTAGCGCGTCCCCTCTGCTGCTGCCGCTGCTCTGCTGTGCCCTCACGCCTGAGCTATGGCCTCTATTCGCGTTCTTTCCTTCGATGCTGAGGGCCGTCCCGTGCAGTTCACTTCCTGGCTCGACGACCTGCAGTTGTATCTTATGAGCAATAGCACGGACCACATCTCCCTCTATGACTACGCGTCTGGTGCTGCCGCTGCTCCTGCTGCCACAGCCGAGCTTAGTGTTCGTTCCCACTGGCAGACTCGTGACGCAGCTGCTCGCCTAGCCATTCGCAGTCACCTCCCGCTAGCTGAGCTCGAGCATTTTGGCGACTGCAAATCCGCTAAGGCCCTGTATGATGCTGTCGTCGCTCGCTACTCCTCGCCTGCCACAGCCGAGCTTAGCCGCCTCATGCTGCCGTACCTGTTCCCCGATCTGTCCACCTTTACTACAGTCGCCGATCTTATCACCCACCTTCGCACTAGTGATGCTCGCCTGCGTGCCGCCCTTCCCACCGAGTTCTGCGCTAAGAACCCCCCTCCACTGTACTGGACACTCCACTTCATAGTCACCCGTCTCCCTGACACCCTCCGCTCAGTTCGAGACCACTTCCTTGCTCGCTGTCCCACTGAGCTCACAGTCGCCCTCCTAGAGGAGCAGCTGCTCGCGGCCGAAAAGAGCATTGTAGCTGTCGGTGCTGCTCGTGGCGCTCCTCGCACCCCCATCTTTGAGGGGTGTTCTCCCTCTCCCCTCGCTCCCTCCTACGCTGCTGCTGCTGCTGTTGACTTCCTTGGTGCTGAGTCTGTTGGCGCTGCTTCTACTCCTGGTGGGAGGCGCCGCACCGGCAAGGGCAAGGGGGGCAAAAGTGGTGGTGGTGGCGCTGGGGGGGGAGGAGGTGGGGGAGGTGGGGGGGGAGGCGGTGCTGGAGGGAGCGGTGGCGGGAGCGCTGGTGGGAGTGGGGTCGGTGGTGGAGGCGGGGGCGGCGGAGGAAGCAGTGGCAGTAGTGGCGGCGGCGGCGGCGGCGGCGGCGGTGGTGGCGGTGGTGGCGGTGGTGGCGGTGGCGGTCGGAGCGGTGGTAGTGGTGGCGGCGGAGGTCGGAGTGGAGGCACTGGCTCGGGCCAGAGCTCCCAGCAGCAGCAGCGTCCCCAGACGACCCAGCAGCTTCGTGAGTGGCTTGCTCAGCGTGGGACGTCGGGGGCCAGTGGCCGCTGTTCTTATGTCATTCGCACAGGTGACCGCAAGGGACAGACGTGTGGGAGGTTCCACACCCCGTACCGCTGCTTCTCCCGCCTTGACGACGCTTGGCGTGAGGAGATGGGTGCGGATGTTGAGCGCCCCCGCTGGGCTGAGCTCATGAGGGCTGGTGTTGATGTCTTTGCTCTTGACTATGATGCTATTATTGCTGCCATGTATGCATTGACTGTTAGTGCCGAGGGAGACTGTTACTTATTGTGTGCCGCCTGACCCAGGTATAGAGCCCGCTGCCCTGGGTACTAGTGAGTCTGCTCTCTCTGGTATGGTGCCCCCTGTACTTGCTCCCCCCAGTGCTGTCCCGGCTGGTTTCGAGTCTGCTCTCTCAGGTACAGCACCCACAGAGACTGCTCTCTCAGGTACCGCACCGGCTGAGGCCTGTCACACCTTCACCCTTGACTCAGGTGCTTCCCGTTGCTTCTTCCGTGACAGTACTGAGCTCACACCGCTTCCTGCACCGGTCCCAGTCTCCTTGGCTGACCCCTCTGGGGGCCCAGTCCTTGCCCAGTCCACCACTGTCCTCCCTTGTCCGGCGGTTCCGTCTGGCTCGTTGTCGGGTTTCCACCTCCCCTCGTTCTCGACGAACCTGGTGAGCAACGCTGTCCTCCAGGATCAGTGGGTTGACACCTTTACCCCTGGCGGACAGCGTGTGGCGATCTGCACGTGCTCCAGGACCGGCCGTCACCTGGCTACGTTTACCCGTCGGCCGGGGTCGAGTCTCTACACACTGACCACTGCGTCTCCTCAGGTAGCTGCTGTCGGTCAGGTGTCTGCGTCAGGTCTGGTAGCCCACGCCTGTGAGTGTCGTTCCCTGTCGCACCAGACTCTTCTCTGGCACCACCGCCTGGGTCACCCCTCCTTGCCACGCCTTCGTGGCATGCACCGTCGCCACCTTGTGTCCGGTCTTCCCAGGTCCCTCCCTCCCCTCCCTGCCTCGCCTGCGCCGCCTTTCTTCCTTGCGTCGAGGGGCGGCAGCGCGCCGCTCCTCACTCCTCCTCGTTCCCCCCGACAGAGGCTCCTCTGCAGACCCTCCACCTGGACGTGTGGGGCCCAGCCCGCGTTCGTGGTCAGGGCGGTGAGCGGTACTTTTTGCTGGTTGTCGACGACTACTCGCGTTACACCACGGTCTTCCCCTTGCGCACCAAGGGTGAGGTCCCTGCTGTTCTGATCCCTTGGATCCGCACGGTTCGTCTCCAGCTCCGCCGCCGTTTCCGGACGGATCTTCCTGTCCTGCGTCTGCACTCTGACAGAGGTGGTGAGTTTTCCTCCGATCTCTTGAGGACCTTCTGTCAGGCGGAGGGCATCGAGCAGACCTTCACGCTTCCGGACTCCCCACAGCAGAATGGGGTTGCTGAGCGCCGCATTGGCCTGGTCATGGAGGTCGCTCGTACCTCCTTGGTCCACGCGGCGGCTCCCCATTTTCTGTGGCCGTTTGCTGTCCGATACGCCGCGCATCAGCTCAACCTCTGGCCCCGTGTCTCCTTACCGGAGACCTCGCCCACACTGCGTTGGACGGGGGAGGTTGGCGATGCGTCGCGCTTCCGGGTGTGGGGTGCTCGTGCCCTTGTCCGCGATACGTCCGCGGACAAGCTCTCCTCCCGCACACTTCCCTGTGTCTTCCTTGGCTTTGTCCCTGACGCGCCTGGCTGGCAGTTTTACCACCCCACCTCGCGCCGGGTCTTCGCCTCTCAGGATGTCACCTTTGACGAGTCGGTCCCTTTTTACCGTCTCTTCCCCTACCGCACTGCCCCCCTCCCTCCCCCGCCGCTTTTCCTTGCTCCTGGTCCCCCTCCGGTAGACCCCCTTCCCCCTCAGGGTCCTGCTCCTTCAGGTGTCTCTCAGGTAGACCCTCCTCCCGTCGCTGAGCCTGTCGAGGTCACAGGTGACTCAGGTGCTGCTGCGGGTGGTGCTGCTGGGAGTGCTGAGCCTGGGGGTGCTGAGCCTGGGGGTGCTGGGCCTGGGGGTGCTGGGGCTGCAGGTGCTGGGACTGAGGGTGCTGGAGCTGAGGGTACGGTGCCTGAGAGTCGGAGCCTGCGGGTGCTGGGCCTGGGAGTGCTGGGACTGCGGGTGCTGGAGCTGAGGGTACTGTGCCTGAGAGTTTGCCGCCTGGGGGTGCTGAGCCTGGGGGTGCTGCGACTGGGGGTGCTGAGCCTGCGGGTACTGAGCCTGCGGGTACTGAGCCCTGGGGTGCTGCTACTGAGCCTACGGAGCCTCGGGTTCCTGCGTCTGGGTGCTCCGGTTCGGGGTCGGGGTGCTGAGCAGTCTCTCACACCGCAGCAGCTTCGTGACTGGTACGTCCGACGCTTTCGCCGTCCTAGTGGCTCGGCTGGAGTTGGGGGTGCTGGAGCTGCTCGTCCTGGGGGTGCTCGTACTGGGGGTACTGGAGCTGCCGGGACTGGCTGTTCTGGGAGCACTGCGACTGGAGCTGCTGGAGCTGGGGACTCTGGCGCTGGCGGTGCTAGCGGAGTTGGAGCTGCCGACTCTGGGGGTGGCGCTGCTGCTGGTGCTGCGGACCCACCTGGTGGAGCTGCTACTGGTGCTGAGGAGTCGGACGGTGGAGCTGCTGCTGGAGCTGGGGACCCGGCCGGTGGAGCTGCTGCTGGTGCTGTGGACCCGGACGCTGGAGCTCCTACTGGTGCTGAGGACCGGCCACTGGAGTCCCTTCTGCTTCTGGAGACGCTGCGCGGCCGCGACCGTACTTCGTACCGCTCCTTGAGCAGGTTCTGGGCAGGCTCCTTCTCCTTGTCCTCCTCCCTCCGTAGAGAGAGTCCCTCCGCCTGTCCAGCCGCAGTCACAGTTACCGCCTGCCTCGCCTCTCCCTGCTCCCTCTCCTTATACTGGTCCCACAGGAGGTCTTACAGAGCGTCGTGAGCCTGAGTCTCGTCCTGCGTCGCCTGTTCGTCCTGCTCGCACTGGTAGTCGTGTCCGTCGTGAGCGTCCTCCTCCTGTCCCAGGCACTCACTATATGACTCTGCGTCCCTCTACTGCTCCTCGGCGTGTCCCTCTACCGTCTCCTCCTGCGTCCTCTTTGCCTGCCGTTCCGGACCCTGAGTCTGACCGGTATCGCGCTGAGCACCCTACAGTCACGCGTCTCCTTGCTACTGTTGTCACTGACCCCACCTTTGAGTCCTCGGCTGCGTCTGCTCTGGTCGCTGAGTTTGGTTGCTTTGCTGCTGCCTGTCGTCTAGACTACGCTGCTAGCCTTGTCGCTGAGTCAGAGTCTGCGTCTGAGTCTCTCTGTCCTCCGTCCGTCGGGGGTGAGTGTGCTCTTGGCACGGACGTCCTTGAGGACAGGCAGGAGGACTTTGACTCTCTTGAGGCTGCTGCTGTACCTCATCTCGTGGCTGGTTGCTTGCGCCTGAGGGAGAGACCAGATGACTGCACTAGACATCCCCACTCCGCGCACTTATGCAGAGGCGATCTCGGGTCCCTACTCCTCTCAGTGGCAGACAGCCATGGACGCAGAGATGGCATCCTGGAAGTCCACAGGCACCTATGTCGACGAGGTTCCCCCTCCTGGGGCGAACATCGTCGATGGCATGTGGATTTTCAGGGTGAAGCGGCTGCCAGGTTCTCCGCCTGTCTTCAAGGCTCGTTACGTTGCTAGAGGCTTCAGTCAGCGTCAGGGGGTCGACTTCTTCCAGACCTTTTCCCCCACCCCGAAGATGACCACTCTTCGGGTTCTGCTGCACGTTGCTGCTCAGCGTGACTACGAGCTTCACTCTCTTGACTTCAGCACAGCGTTTCTGCAGGGCAGCCTGCACGAGGAGATCTGGCTGCGCCGCCCACCTGGCTTACTGGGTCGTCCTCCCCCTGGTACCCAGTGGAGCCTCCGACGGCCAGTTTACGGTCTCCGCCAGGCGCCACGTGAGTGGCACGACACACTGAGGACTACTCTTGCGGCTCTTGGGTTCGCGCCGTCTACTGCTGACCCGTCGCTGTTTCTGCGCATAGACACGTCGCTGCCGCCGTTCTACATTCTCGTGTACGTCGACGACTTG